ATGCCAGGACACCTCGTTTTTCTAACCCTAACCCAGTCATGGTGAATCTTTTAGAGACCGAGTGCCCAAACACCTGTGCTCGGGCCCCTAGGCTCACATCCAGGTTCCCACAGTCCAGTGGGGCTGGGGAGTGACCAACCAGGCAGGACTGGCATCAGCCCCTGGGCCTGAACACTGAACTGGCATTGCTCACTGCAGCATACGTTCTTCTTGCTTTCAAAAATATTTTCTGGTTGGGAGCTATCTGACCAGACTCATACAAGATTACAGGTCCTCATTACTAGCTTTTGCATTAAAAATACACTGCCCATTTGTATAACAAAATTATGCTCATTCCCAATCACATTTATTTCACATCAGAGCAGCGAGAGCAAATTCCATTTTATTTCTGTGGTGTTGAGTAGAATAAGCTTAACAAGTGAATTTGCACAGACTTGGAATGGTTTATCTTGTGTTAAATCAGAGTTGGCAAACTCTTTTGTCTCATGGATCAGGAATATAGAAGCACTGTAAAATATGGAATAAGCAGGCTGGAGTGAAGAGAAATGTTAACTGTATGCTTCACTCCTGAAGTTATTCACATGGGCTTCTTTAGTACTATGTCCCTGTAAGACCATTCAGATCAAAGTGCATAAAACCAGAAGTTACCTTCAGCTTTAGTTTTCCTACAGATGTAATAATCATTACTTAACTCACAGAATTAGCTCATCTTCCAATGGTGGACTAAGCTAGAAGGTGAAAAGCTCTGATAGCAATAGGGGACATTTGCATGAAGGACAAATGTATCCTGAAACTTAACATCACCTCTGGCATTGTTCTCATCTAAAAGCAAGATCATGTACATCAGCTTGAAAGTAAGAGGGGCAAAGGACATGAAGTTCTATCTGGTATCTTGCATGTGATGCAACCCTGTTTTCCTTCTAGAATAATGGGAAGCTGTGTCTGCATAGTACCCAGTGCAGCAGTAAATGCTTCCAGAGAGTCAATGGAGTAAATCTGGCTCGTTGTGCAGCTAAGGCAGCTAAGGACCAGGAATGTTCCCAGAAGGTAAATGGTGTTTTCTGTGATTCAGTAGGATCTTGGTATCTGAAGGTTCTAATGGCCACGCTATTCTTTGTCTTGTCACTATAAATATTATAAAGCAGATACTATCATTCAGAAGAGCATTTGGGAAAAGGAAAGCAGTGAAGGGAAGAGCAAAGAGAAATCATATGATCAGAATGAGAGGCAGTGAAGGTTCAAGTAATATAGCAGGGCAGAGAAAGTGAGTTAAAGGCTGCAATCCTATGCTGTCTATTTGGAAGTATGCTTAATCAAGGTCAGTGAGACTTACTCCCAGATAATTGTGTATAGGAGTGCAGCCTAGGGGCAATAACCCAGGGCTGTCACAGCACTGGTGTAAACCAACAAGGTACTTAGCATTCGGGATAGGACAGTCTTGGATACTACCCAATGTCTTCTGTCACAACTTTCCTCAGAACTGGTCCCATTGACTTCCAAGAGAGTCATTTCTGTGTAGGAGTGTGTTGTAAGAAGAGAGAGGGAACAGCAAAAAATATGAAAAAAAAGCTTCAGAAAGTGAAGTAAAATGTAATGGTATCAGATTAAATGAAATAATTGAATTTTGCAGAAAATTTTCCAATTTCTTAATGAGAGAATCGGAAGATTATCAGTGGCTACTGGAGCTCATGACTATAAGCTACCTGAGGATCAGAGGCAGTATGCCTATGTTCTCGAATCCTGAGGAACATGGGGAGGAGGGTCCTATGGCGCTCATGTCCTGCTTGTTGGTTTCATGGCTGGGCTAGGCACACACTTTGTCTGATCAAGACTCTTCAATTTTAATTAATGCAGACACCGTTTGGTGAAATATCTGGAGCCGAACAGAAGGTGAAGCTGAAACGGCTTAGATTAGTTTGTTTGTGGGGATAACAGAAATGTGGAGCGCAAGTGGGCAGCTGACAGTGGGGAGAAAATCTAGGACGGGGAACAAAAGAGGAAGAAAGAGGAGAGGAAATCCCAGAAACAAATAGCAAAAGTGTGGGTGGATTCAGAAAGGTTGCCTGCCCCTGGTTTGTACATCTCAACAAAAGCATCTGCATCGTGGCCTCTACTTCAGGTCGTGACCTGCATGATGAGCATTCGCACTTCAGATTCACACTATGCCACTCTCCCTGACTCCGATCCCAGCCTCAGATCCTGGCTTCTCCCATGTTTTGCCTGCCTTTGCTCCCTGCACTCAGTGTGGCTACGAATCCATGTGCCCTTCCACATTCATATGCCCACTGAAGCATTTGAACACACTGTTGGAGCCCTTCATGGTATCTGATATGGTCTTCTCTCTTGTTCAGTTCAGCATGGCAGGTCAGGTCAGGACCTCCCAAAGAGCAGAGCTGGTGGCAGGGGGAGGCAGATACAACTACAGATTCATCCAGGAACTTCTTGACTTGGGTTGGGAAGCAGAGAGTTGAACTCAGTTCATCCCAAACAAGTCTCGGGAGTAATGCATTTCACCATCTTCAGGTAAACTAGGGACAGCATTGCCAGACAGACCAATGGCACAGCTGTCTTACGAAATATAAGGTCGTTTAGCAGGTCAAGCTATTTCCCTTCATGTTCTGCCCAGAGACATCAGAAACACACAGCTCGGACACAGTTTCTCCTGATCTGGTGTTTGCCAGATGTTTTGAACTACCACTCTCAGCAGCTCCACCAGGAATGCTGAGAGTTGTAGTCCAAAATATCTCAATGGCACCAGGGCAGGGCAAGGGATCAGGGTGATTCCTGACTAGGTCCAGCGAATTCTGAGAACATACCAAAAATAGTTCAACATATAAGGAGGACTTAGGAGAATTATACACCGAGAGAACTTCTTCCCCTTGTTCACATGGCCTTCCTCCTTTACCCACAGAAAAAATAATTGCTTCTTTTCATCACACATGGACTGTAACATTTAATTAATTTGTATAAAGCTGCCCCACTAGCATAATGCTTTCTGGGCAGTCATTACAATAAAAAAACATAACAATGAAGACAAAAGTATATAATAGCTTTCACAGTTTTAAGGGAGATTCAGCTGCCTTGAGTATCTTGCATGCAGGGAGAAGAAGGTAAGGAAAGGCAAGGAATTTGGCTCATGGCCAGTTGCTATAGTATTTGGGTCCAATAAATTTATTCCAGGAGTTCTTTGAGAGCCAGTGTGAAAGACTACCCCAGGGATCTGGAACTTGGGGATTTCCAGAAATTGTTGAATTACAACTCCCATCATCCTTGTCCATTGTCCATGCTGATGGGTGTTATAGTCCAAGAAACTCTGGATCATATCCCAAAATTAGCTGATTTCCCAGTCATTGTATTCATTCAGTTGGCAACTCTGAGCTTTTCCTGTACAATTCCACCTTTCCTGTCAGTGTGCAGAATGATGCATGCAATGTAAATTAATTGATTAGCATTGATGCTCTATAGCAGCACTCCCAAACCTCCACACATGTTGAATTTTGAGTCCCATAATTCCTAGCCATAGTTAAGCACATCTGCAACTATAAGAGCTGGAGTTATGCAGTTACACAACAGAGAATTCCACTGAAACCCACTTAATTTTAGGGGAGAGAAGTTCTGAGTGCTAGCAGACCTAGGATGAATCCTCCGTACAGCAAAAAGGAGGAACTGCCACAGCAGCCATTGAATTGAAGAACCCGTGGCCTGAGAAGGACTCAGAACACATCTGTAGGGAGTTTCTTTGAGAGATTACATGGGCTCACTCAGCTCACAATCTCCAGGTATTGCACATGACTGTCCCTTGTCCTCCCACATGGTGCCTGAAGGAATGCTAATCTAATGGGAACCATGCAGATATAAGTTGCGATGTTCATACACACAATCCTCATAAACCACAGCAGGTAAGTGTTCATATCGCTGAAGGAACGCTTACGTCCATATATGCCCGCCCGCCCCTTGAGATCTGCGGGAGAGGCCCTTCTCCGGGAACCCTCCGTGAAAGAAATTAGGAGGGTAGGTACTCGGAGGAGGGCTTTCTCTGAGGTGGCGCCCAGTCTATGGAATGCGCTCCCCAGAGAGGTCCACCTGGCGCCATCGTTATTTGTTTTTCGGCGCCAGGCGAAGATCTTTTTATTCAAATGTCATTTCAACTGTTAATACTATTTATTTATTTTATTCTTTGGCCAGGGCAACTTAAATTATACTGTTTATATTGTGTTTATTTATGATTGCGAGCCGCCTCGAGGCTTCTGCGAATGCGGCGACATAGAAGTTCTCTAAATAAATAAATAGATAGATAGATATTCTGCTAGCCTTGATGTACTTGTTTCTAACTTAAAGCTAAAGAAATTACAGCATAGCTACCCCTTCAGAGACTATTGTGTGTGCAAGTCCACATATACTTAGGGTAGCAGGTTTAGATGGGGATGTAGGTAGAGGGAGTCCTACAACTGCCAGCATGCCCCAGCCAGCCAACTAAGAATATGCAGCAAAGAGTGCATGGGCAAGATGGAACAAATGATAATAGCTGCAAGGATCCTCTTAGCAAAAGCCTAGTGAACAACATGCATAGCATCACTGATGCAATGGAAAAAGAAGAGAGCTTCAGCTAATGTGTGGTATGGAAATGTAATAAATAAAGTCAATACATTTGGGCTATCATGGTGATGAGAACAAGCAAACTACAGGAGGGGAGAGTGAATTCCATCCAGTTGGATGTGTTATCAATTTTTTTCAATAGGCTTTGGCCAGGTAGTTTTCCAAACTTCGCTATATTCTGTGTGTGTTAAGTTGCAATATTGTAACTGGATGGAAAGAGTGCATTGGGAAACCAAATCTGTACATTTTTTAAAATAAGTGCTCTTCTCATATAGAAGCCAAGACTCATACACTTCCATGGTCAGATGAAATCAGACATGTTGCTGACATGGAGACACACCAGTGCTTTGTCTTCTCTTCTCCAACTCATTTATTAGTCTCTTTTTCATCTATAAACTGTCCTCTTAAGTGTTGTTGTCACCATCATCTGGGCAACCAGCTTGAAGAGGTAGAAAGCCGCCCCTGGCGTCATCCAGGACACGGCTGCCACTGTTGGCCCTGATGTTCTCAAGGGGGTGGAAGCTGTGGTCAGCTCTCTCAAGGGGGTGGAAGCTTTGGCTGGTCTCATCGGTGCCTTGGAGGGGACGGAAGCTGGGGCCGGTCGCATCGGTGCCTTGGAGGGGGTGGAAGCTGCGACCATTGCCGTCATGGCTGGTGTCAGAGACATCTGTGGAGTCAGTGGAGAGGGTGTTGGGAATGAATGGGTGGTTGCTAAGGGTGCTGTTTGAGACTTGGCTAATTCTCGTTGATTCCAGGGGGTAGGCACTGAGATTGGCTCTGAAGGGGAGTCCACCAATCACCCTGTTCTCATCCTTGTCAAGCCGGAGGCTGAGTATGACCTTGCAGGCCTGCACTTGGATCTCTTCTTCTGGGTGGGTGATGAGAGCAAGCAAGCAGTTGGACAGGCGCGAGTTGTTCCCAAAAAGCATTTCGTGAATGGACTGATCCTCGTACTGCCACTGGGCAGACTGGTACTGCGGAGACAGGCGGCCTTCGTTGAGCCGCTCCACAAAGACTAGCATCTCATAAAGCAGGTTCGTAGGGAGGGAAGGTTGGATGAAGCTCAGGAACTGAGGGGGTGCCTAGGGGAGAAATACCATGGATGGCTTTAGTCAGGGGCTCTTTGTCCTTCCCTGTACCCACTCTCCATCTGCAGGCGTCTGATTGTGCAGGCAAGCATTTCGTGACTGCCTTAGCCATTACTCCCAAACACTTACGCATTGCTCCCAAACACTTACTCCCAACCAGAACCAAAGAAGAGGTCAAAGGAAGGCACTGAGCTACATAACATGCACCCACCAGCAAGACATGCGTGCCCCAGCAGCCTCCACCCATGTCCCTGGCAACTGGTGTGCAGAGGCTTACTGATCTGTTTGCCCTCCAAGGAAGAGATCCTGGCTCTTTTGCAGCACCTTGGGATGTCTTATCCGATTCAGCTTAGGCAGCATTTCCTTCAGAGCTGCAGCTCCTGAACATGTATGCCCCTACCTGAGTTTTAGTCAATCCCTGTAGCTAGAGCACATCCATCCATCCATCCATCCATCCATCTATTTCTGATATGTATGTCTTGATTTTTCCTCCAAGGAGTCCAAGGCAGCTCACATGATCCTCTTCCTCTCCATTTTATCCTCACAACGAGCCAGCTCCTGAACATCCATCCATCCATCTATATATCCATCCATCCATCCATCCATCCATCCATCCATCTATATATCCATCCATCCATCTATATATCCATCCATCCATCTATATATCCATCCATCCATCCATCCATCCATCCATCCATCCATCCATCCATCTATATATCCATCCATCTATATATCCATCCATCCATCTAAATATCCATCCATCTATATATCCATCCATCTATATATCCATCCATCCATCCATCCATCTATATATCCATCCATCTATATATCCATCCATCCATTTCTGATATATATGTCTTGATTTTTCCTCCAAGGAGTCCAAGACAGCTCACATGATCCTCTTCCTCACCATTTTATCCTCACAACAAGCCTGTGAGGCAGAGAGTCAGTGACTGGCCCAAAGTCACCCACTGAGCATCATGGTCAAGTGGGGACTTGAACCCCGGTCTCCATGGTCCAGCCTTCTAACCACTACAGCACGCTGACTATAGTGCCACACTTTCCAAGGCAATCTCTCTGAGGTTCCTTGTCCCCCTGCGCTGGTGTAAGGATGCCTCATACCCGGCAATTCATGAGGTCGTACAGCAGGTCCTCCTTCTGGGCAATTGTGGTGAGGAACTTGAGTACCTGCACCTGGACAAACAGAGAAGAATATGGGTCTCAATCAAGGACAGAAAGGCAGGCACTGGGCCACCCTTCCCCAGCAAGGGTCCTTCCCATGTGTTTGACGTGGCTCCCATTATCCCCAGCCAGCTTTGCCATCAGAAGCTATATTCTAGAGAAGAGTCTAGAATAGAGAAGTCAATGTCCTCTGCTGATTAGGAATGGTAGAAGTTGTCCTCCAACACAGTCTGAGGGCCCCAGCTTGGGGTGGACTGCACTAGAACCCTTGGCTGTGAAACCAAACCTCAAGGTATGTTCGCACAAAGGCAAATGACACCTTCAGCAAACAGATGAGAAACAGTGAGAAGTGTGAGGATTTCTTTTCGGGAGGTGAACTAGTTCTTTCAGCTTCTAGAAGAAAACCATCAGGTTGCATATGCTCCAGTGGGCTTGGTGCTTTGAGCATGACTTTGAAGCGCAACTCCAGAGCAGAAAGTGATATTTTCCTCATTAGCTTGCAGAGAGTCAGTCCTCCATGGTAGGTTCAGGTAATACGCACCCCAGGGAGAGTGTAGTGATTTCTCTTTTTTGACCCAAGTTCTCAATGGACTGGCAGCAGCTGTCCAAAGGTGTCCTGATAATGTAATGGAAGGATGCTGTATGCATTCGAATAATTGTTCCCTCCATGTCCAGTGTGCAAGATGGGGGTTCTGAAGCTAAAATGGTCCAGCCCACAATCAATAGGTTGGTATCAGCAGGGTGGAGGGTGGGGAAAAGTTTGCAGAGGAGGAGAAGGAGGAGGAATGTTAGGAGGAACAACCTGAAAGGGGAAACCAAAAATCAAGCAGCCTGGGGTAAGTGAGGTGCTCAGTGGCCACAGAACAGTGAGTGTTCTACTGGGCTGGAAACATGGGGAAGCCTGCTACCCAAACACACAAGTGTGTGCTTGCAGAGCGCCCTGAGAAGAATGTCCATGTTCCATAGGCATAGAATGGAATGCTGGCAGGAGAAATGGAAAACCAGGCCAGAAAAATGCAATGGAGAGTCCTGGACAGGGGACAGGTGTGCTCCGAAGTGCAGGTGCCAATTGGTCTCTCCATTTCCGATGGTCAGGCTGTGGGGGCCAGGCCGGAGCTACCATTGGGCAGAGTGAGGCAGTTGCCTCTCCTGGCAAATGCTGGGAGGAAGAAAGGATTGGAGACCACAGTTGTGGGTCCTGCACCCCTCAGAATAGTCTGCTGCATACAGGTGTGGTGGGTGATGCTGTCCCATGTTCCGTATCACAGTAGGGCTCACTTGCCAGTTGGCCTTTGTGCATTGGAGGAGAAAGGCATGGCCTTGCCTGGTACCCCAGGCCATCTCCAGATGGTCCTGTGTGGGGATCTTTGCCTGTGTAGCCAAACACCACCAGCAGCCTGCAGAAGGGAGGCCCCAGCAGCCCCAGGGAAGCCCCGAGGGTTGCAGAGGTGCACGTACAGAGGGGTGGGGCCAGGAGAAGCAACCACCTCTACTCAGTGACAACTGAGTGTGTTGCATGACCATAACGGCTGATTGCCTACTGGGGAGGGGGGAACATCAGTCGGGTTGGCAAGGCAGAATGCAACGTGGTGGGGGACCGGGAACAGCAGCACTCCGTCTTGTCGCAGGTCTGAAAGGCCAGGAATTGCCGGGTTTCATTCTGTCTAAATAGGGATGCACCTTTGCAGGGAAAACAAACATCTGCTATGCGTGTCTGTTTGTAGGACCTGCGGCAGGTGGGTGCACTTCTGTGCTCCTCCAGGCTTGCCCAGGCAATGCTGCAGATAAGGAGGAACTGCCTGCCTGGATGATTCTGTACCTTGGCCAAGGTGTTTGCCATGAACAGAATGTCCATGAAATTCAATAGCACCCTTTTCAGCAGGGGGTGAGTTTGATCTGGGATATGCAACCCGTTCAGCAGCCTCAAGCCAGCAACCTGCATGTTGGCATCCCAGTTGCTGGTCACCAGCTCAACAATCTTAGGGACGTATTCCTGCACAGGGAAACAAAGCAAATGTTTGTTTGTGTAATGCAATGATTTTTCTCATCCTGACCATTAGGAGAAGACTCTGAGCAAAAGATTAGGGGGATAACTAGACCAGGAATCAGCCCCTGCACCTTTCCTTGCATTCTGCTTTGAAGCAATAGAGCAGAGATGGACAGAAGAGTGAACCAGTTCTACTGGCAGGTCTGTAGGTAATTCATATTAGAGTCGACCATTCCAAAATTTAAAAATTCCCAGGGGCAGAGCCCCTTAAAGTATCTGTGTCCTGCTGACTCTGGCTAGAGGACCTCTGGTCCAGTAAAAAACAATGCAAAACAACAAAAGCACAAAAAATAAAATGAGCCTGAGACCTGGCTACCCGCTGTCATGGCAGCATCTGAGAGCATAAGCATCACATGCTTTGTTCCACCAATGAGCTCTCAGCACATTCAACATGCTGGTTTAGGGGATATAAAGACTTTGTGCTGTAGGTGCTGGAACAATCCACTTCCAGATGAGCCACTTCCCGATTGCATCTGCAGATCTGAATGATAGCATAAAGGTTGTTTTGGGGATAAGATTGAGAGCAGGAGACTGAAGATGGTATAAGCCAGTTTGAGTTCTTAAAAAAATGAAAAAGTGGGATATAAATCTAATAAAAAGCTAATAAAATAAAAGGGAAAGTGATTTTTCGAACTGGTTTAATGGTGATATCTCTAGATAAGGGATTTTGTTCCTTGGGGAGTTATGCCATATGCTCAGTGACTAAATTCAGACAATATGACTTATCCAGGGGTTGTGTAAGAGTTGAGTGTGGGTTGTCATTGAACCATGAGTTGAGGTTGAAATGAAGGTTATAGTGTGTCTGAACTCAGCTTCACTAGCAAACCATGGCTTGTTAACCATGAACAACACATGAAGAGAACCCATGGTTTGTTGCTGGGTTGTGAACCATAGTCTGTTCCCCATTGTTTCTTACCTCGGTAACTCATGTTTCAACAACAACCCAAGGTTCAACAATAACGTACACCCAAATGTTGGGTGTCAGTTATCATGTTGTCTGAACTAAGATAAAACAAATTTACCAGTTACCATTTTATCAGTATTTGCAAATTAAGCACTGCATTCAAGTGATTGTCAGACATGAACTGTCTTCTTTCACCATTTAAGAAGATGGCCATTTCAGATAGATAAAGATTGTTATCCAAAAATAAATTGCATTTTTCAATGCAAATATGAAAAATAATGGCAGAAGGGATGACAAAGGTGATCTGTGAGAAATTTCTGGAGATTTTAATGTTATTTTAAAAGTCACTGGTGGGGGAAAATGGAATGGGAACACACAGCTGGGAACAAGAGCTTAGTCCTTCCCCTATACCATCCTACCTCCCCTGGTCACCTCAAGTTACCACATGGAGGTGGGACATAGAATCTTGTTGCTCCCAGGCTTACTTATCCTTATTATTTTTTAAGCCGCACCCACCAACATAAATACCTTGTATGACTTACAAAAGGAACACAACAGGAAAAGTACAATAACAAATTTACTAAAAATAACACATACGACTGACTGGTGTTGCACACCTCGTTTCTGTTTAATCCTGCATAGCATTGCAACCTAAAGGCAGCAACAGACTGGTGTACAATCATCTGCAGTTATCAGATCATGTTAAAATTAAAAGTATGATGAGGCAGAAAGACCTGTGGATGGCATGGGGCAACTGTTGAGATTCTTAAAAGCCCTTTTTTCTTCAATTGAATAAATGCTACATGAAATCTTTTCATGTAATAGAGCCACTGGTAGAACTTAATGCAAGTCAGGACCGGGTCTTATATGCAACTCCTGTAAGTTGTTACCTGGATTTTGATTTTAAATCTCCAAATGGCAGTGAAGGCTTTGAGGGCATTTAGTGCCTCAGTCTGGGTGACTTTATCTTCATCATCCAGGAATGATGCCACCAATTTTATATCATCATGAGTACAAGCATTTGCCTGGAAGGAAGGAAGGAAGGAAGGAAGGAAGGAAGGAAGGAAGGAAGGAAGAGGTAATCAAATCTGGAGAACTAAAACTGAAATGAACTAAACTGGAACACAGAATGGATTGCATACTCACATAACACCTGCACAACCCTTTCCTCAAGTGCATGATACTGAACTACAGAACTGACAAGTCATGCTCAGGGGAAGGCAACCTGTTCAAAACATTTGGAGGGCACCAAGTTGCCTCCATGGACACTGGATGGCAATTAGATTGTAAATGGGATTTCAGATTGTGTGACTCTGCCCTGCCCTGCCCTGCCCTGCCCTGCCCTGCCCTGCCCTGCCCTTCCTTATCCTATCCTATCCTGTTACAGCCTGCTTTTCCATGGATATTTTTGTGCTACAGGTGACCATCCTGAGATGACCATCCTTTAGTCATTGACTAAATAGGAATGATATAAAAATGTCCTAAATGAATGAATGAATAAAATTCCAGTGACTGCATATTTCTGTTTATCAAATATCAGGCATAGATCAGACCTTTATCAACAATGGTCTGTCACACAGGAAAGGGGAAGGTGTGATCCTCCAGATTTTAACTGAATGGCAACCCCCATCATCCCTGACCATTGGCTATAGGGTGGATGGGAACTGCAGTCCAGCAACTTCTGGAAGGCCATACTTCCCCCTTTAACCTTCTACTCTAACACATACTACAGAGTCTTAAGATATAAGGAGAAAATGGAAGGATAACTTACTTTGCTAGCACTCAGGATATTCTGGCTAGACAGGTCTCAGTGCTCCCATTGAAGGCTTTTGTGAGGCTATTCTATCTTTTGTGCCTTAATGGCTGGGTTGGGGGGAGGGTGTGACTTAAGACAAAGGCAGTGGACATGGAAGGTTTAAAAACAGGAAAAGGCATGATCCAGAAATCCACTCATCACCCAATAAAATTCCACAAATAAGGCTAGGGAATTTCATTATAAAAAGCATCCATGGACTCTAACTCTTACTCTAACTCGTAAGTGGATGCTGCTATCTTGACAAGCTACACTCTTGTTAACTAATCCATTGGCAAATATGTCTTTGAAGCTGAGCAAGGTGAAAAGCCACCACAGAAGGCAACGTGAAGCAGGGACAGGCTTAAGTGTTCCTTGCTGAGAAAGAGAGATGGGAAAGCTGCATCGGGAAGCACCATCTCTGTTAGGACAATAGCAAGGCGGTGCCAGTGTGAAAAGCTGGTGAGCTCAACCTAGTCTAGATCCCCTACAAGTCATCCCTGTACTCATAAGTGGAAAGCAAGCATAGAGGATTGTGCATCCTAGTTCCACAACAGCTGTCGCAATTCAGAATGTCACACATGCTGGGACTTCCACTGCTGGCTAAGGAAGGTGGATAAAGAGTGCCAGAAGCCTGGGCTGCTTTTTAATGTTCCACAGTCAGCAGTGGGGAAGGAGAATTTGCACTTACAAGGCTAACTTGGCCTGTCTGTCTGTCTGTCTGTTTGAAACAAATGTTTTCTACTTGACTAATCTTAAACATGGGCCCTCACCATATGGAAAAGCCTGGATCAAACTGAATGCTACAATGGAGCATTGAAGCTGCCTAAAAAGTTCACTCTGACCTATCCCCAAATCCTGTGTGAGCCCAGTTCTCCCAGAATATTCCATTTAGCTTTATATTCCCAGCCTTGAAACCTGTGCCACATGGACCTTTCCATTTCTGCTGAAACACCTGCCTGGTTTTTTTTCAGTGTCAAGTGGCATCTGAAATCCATTCCAGTTTGGCTTCTCTTTGTGAACTCCTTCTCATACACACCCTTTTCCAGAACAGGTGTCAAGGTCCTGGAGACTAAGTCCCTCTGATCTCAAGTGGAACATGGGCAAGCTAGAGGAGAACTTCCATATCTGAGTTCCTAGGCTGTGCTCTGTTTTATCAGGCCTAATTTTCCAGTTTGCACTCTAAGGACCCTCACCTCTTCTTCCTTCAGATGGATACATTGTGTGATGGTATTAAGTACTGTTCTCTTGGAGTTGGCATCTAGGCTTGGAGTGAGGGACAGCAGGAGTCGCCTGAGTTCACCAGGAACTTTTGCCCTTACAGATGGAATTGGATAATACTCAATGGAATGTCCTAGAAGGAAACAATCAGAAGTGAAGTACCTGCCAAACCTAGGTAAGTTCAAAGGACCTGGATTATACATACTGACATCTTTTCACCAAGCTTTCCTGTCCTACCACATCAGCCCAATAGAAGCTATAGAAATTCCTGTGAAGGGGCATTTTAGACTCTCCTAAAAGATGGCATGACTGTGCCACAAGGCTTCCCCATGCTGATACCACTGGGCCACTCATGTAAATTGCACAGAGCACACTGTGCTTAATTGTGGTGAACCACCCAGAGAGTTTTGGCTATTGGGTAGCAGAGAAATTAAACAACAACACAGAGAAGCAGGAAATGGACATGCAGAAGGGTAGCCACATTGCAAGTGGCAAGTGTAGGACAGATATGTTGTTAGAGCATAGCAGGTCCCCTGAAAAATGGTCCTGGGGGATCCCCCAAGCAGAAGTTCTGAGTTGAAACCTCCAAGGTGTGCAGGTGTGCGCCTTCAGTGTTGCGTGTGCTACATATATCTGCCAACTCGGGTAACATCTCATCCATTCAAGTCATAATACAGTTGTGCTGCCACAAAACTCTTTCTTGTTTTTGCTACAACAGACAAATATGGCCACACCTCTGGGAACTGGTCCATCCTAACATGACTGCTGTGCAAGCAAGCATCAATCTTTAAAATGTGTGCCGAGGGTGGAGACTGTTTACAGCATTTTAATAGCATCACAAGCCTGAAGTATTTCAGCATTCCCTTCTCGCCCTCAACTCTTCGGCAAGCCTGATATATTCTATGTAGCTCAACAGTGTCCCTTCACTCATCTGGTAAGCTGGCATGTGCCAGCACACCAGAACAGGATTTCCCCTCTCTTTCTTTCCTATACATAGTCAACAGCTCCAGCTCCTTGTTTGGAATAAGCTCAAACTGGGATATATTTTAAGAATTCTCAGCAGAGTCAGTTCAGTCATGTGGCAATATTCTGATGTGCTCGTTAAACCACTGACGTCAGAAATAGTCTATTGCATGACTGGACCAAACAACAACTATTCTCTGTTAAAGGCCTTTTACTAAATCAGATTCCCCATAAAAGTAAGAGTTCATTCTTCAAGAATATTCCACTGACGGGTTGTTTTGTTTTGACCATTTGTACAGTTTTTTGTTAATTTCTGTGTGTTTGGGTTTGGGGCAAGTAAATCCAAAGCCCTTTACTTTCATTCTTCCCAAAGCCTTAGGTGAAGGGACGTGTCCTTGTCAGTAAGATTACATAACTCTCCAAGCAGTGGGTCAGATTAGGGTATATCCGAAGTTTTATCCTAAGTAGTAGTAACTATTAGTTATTTGGCAGGGGAACAGAGGAGAAAACCTCTATAAAGAAGGAAGAAAAGTGTTTCTTCTTCCCATCTAAAACAATCCCACTTGGCCTGGTTGCCTGCCAAAATCCCATTGCTGTTTTTCACCCAGTGATGCCCTCAAGCCTAAGAAAGTGTATTTTGAGCAACCCAACCTCTTCTGGGCTCTCCAGCTCCCCTTTTCCTTTCATTCCATCCCCCTTATTCTTGGTTCAGGGGAGGCAAAAGTGCTTCATACAGACAGAAGAGAGCAATTGCCTTAGCAATAGCACGCTAAACTGAACCAAAATTAGGACCTAACCAGGGTGAGTTTACGGGAACATAGACAAAAAGTACCCAGTGTGGGGAAGAACCACAGAAAGACAAGAGGATGTCATCATTAACCACACAGCAATTCAGTGGATAAGCTGATGACAAAGCAGAAATAGGAACAGGGAGTGGACACGAGCATCATTGCTGTGTTTCTTTGTCATGGCCCTTTGGAATGACAATAACACACGGTACTAGTGAGAATGTTCCACTGTCTCCTTGTATCCCACATGACTCACTTGACTCCAGGTTGAAGGGGGGACTTTGGAGCATTGCTAGGAGAGCCTTGGACACCAGATAGATGGCTGAAGCTCCTATAACTCCATTCGCCACATTTTTCCTAGTTATCAACTCGCTGTATTTCATCACCTTGTCGGGAGCTCTCAAGCAATCTGGTTGAGCTCTGGCCACAGGCCACCTTTCTGAAACACTATATTGCTGACTGCATGGTTTGTGATGTCACCTGAGCCCATCATGACAGTTGTGGCACATCATCATGAGGTCTGGACAGATTAGGGCTCAGCGTTATCTTGAGAAGTAAGATACCAGGATGGATCTTAGCCCAGTAACAGAGGGTGTGTGTTGCATAATGACAGGATCAGTCCCACCATCTCCACTTAAAAGTGCAAGGCAGCAAGTGGTATGGAAGATTCCTGTCTGCCTGGGATTCTGGCAAGTCTCTGACAATCAAAACTGGCAAGAATGGGCTAGGGAGGCAAATAGGACCTTAGTGTTGGGCATCTTCCTGAGTTCCAATGTGAAGACCTTCCTTTGCCAAAAAAGACAAGAAAGTGGGATACAAGTGGGAAAGAGAGGGTCCCTTTTAGGCTCCTCTGTACGAATGTAAGCATAATGTGAAAAATACCCAGAGGTGTTCCAAGATTCTTTAGCAGAGCATTCCCAGCTGTTGATCCGATGGGTACAGCTTCCTCTGTGGAATACCTCCAAGACTAGAAACCCCCGTGAGGAATCAGACCTGACCTCTAAGTACAAGGAGAGGGAGGGCAGGACCAGTTCATGAACAGGCTGAGTGAGGCAATGATAGATCTCGCAAGTTGTGGGTCTCAGTGATTATGGTCTCCCGCCAGATGCTTCCTCTGAATTCCTTGGCCATTCTCATCCTTAAGTATAAATGAACCCGGCTGGATTAGACCAAGGTTCCATTTGGTCCTTGTTGTTGTTGCTAGTTGTGAAGTCGTGTCTGACCCATCGCCACCCCATGGACAACATTCTTCCAGGCCTTCCTGTCCTCCACCATCCCCTGGAGTCCACTTAAGCTCAGACCGACTGCTTCAGTGACTCCATCTAGCCACCTCACCCTCTGCCGTCCCTCCATTCGGTCCAGCATTCAGTTAATACAGTTGCCAGGTAGCCGCTCATGTGAAGCCCACAAACAGCATATTAGTGCAACACCAACCTCCCACCCATGTTCCCCACCAACTGGTGTATATAGACGTGCCACCTCCGATTCTGGAGGCAGCACAGAGCCATCAGGACTAGCATCCATTAATGGCCTTCTCCTCCAAGCCAAACCTGGGGCCAACACTACATCTTGCAGTAGTGAATCCCATAGTTGAAATCTGTGCTTTGAGGGGAAGTGCTTGCTTTTATCTGTCCTAAACCTCCCATGTATCATCTTAACAGGATGACTCAGTTAATGGGATGTCATCCTAGCCACTTTGTCTATACTGTGCACAGTTCTTTTTTTTAAGACGTTGTATTAACTAACTTAATTACAATACAATGCGAAAGTACATCAATAAGAACAAGGAATCTGAAAAGGAAAAAAAACCCTTTACAAATAAATCAAATCATATAATCAATCAAAGCCATTAATAATTAATTAATTTAATATTAAACATAAAAGGTGCACTCCCACACTGGGACCCTTAGCTGCATGAGAATTATTTATTCATATCTATATATACTCCACTGTACATAATTCTGTACATCTCTATCATGTCACTCCTTACTTGCCTCATTTCTAAGCTAAACAATCCCAGCTATTGTAGCCTTTCATCATAGGGAAGTTGCTTGATCCTCAATCCTGCACCAGCCAAGGATGTGGAAAAGATGCACAAATGCTCATTTCCTTATTTAAAAATATAAATCCTTATCCTTTCTCTACAACCAAGCAGGGCTTCTTCCTGCATAAATATATTATTAAGGTAGCAGACTCAAACTCTATTCCGGTAGTGTGATGATTTAAGGTAAGCTTAAATATGACATTGCACATGTTCAGAGTATTTCTTTTTTATCAGGGAGGATAAACCATCTCTGACCCCTCTAGCATATCAGGAATGTAGAAGTACTTAGTGGGAGAAGCGAGGGAGAGAAACGTTTGTTGTGAGCTTTGTAATTGCAGTAAAACACATGGCTGTTTAGAGATGGGGCATAAAAGACTATTATTAAGCCCAGGACCTAAAATTACATAACTGCACCACAGCTTTCTGGTAGTGGCACACAAATTATAAAACAGTCTTTCCAGAAAGGTTTTGTCTGGTTCTTTTCAGCACTTGGCAAAGACCATTTATTTTGCACAGGTTTGTAAAATTGTTCTTGTAATCTTGAAGTTTTCAGTTTTACAGTGACTGAGTTTGATCTTGGAGCTTCCTTTCTAGCAAGTATGTTGGGGATAGCTTTCTAAAGGGAGTATATTCGTTTGCAGGTAGTGGGAACTGCTCAGGATGTTCTCAAAGCAAAGAGTAGAAATTAGTCAAGTTAATGGGTGCCTTGAAAACATCTGGCATGCCCCAGAAGAGGGCAGCAAAACCCATGAGATGAACAGGGGCCCTCTGCATTTCTGGAGAAAGCACAGCAGCACTTCTAGATGCTTGAATCCTTCTAATCTGCCAGAGAGAGAGAGAATGGCTACCAAAGGTCACTTGTCAAATCCCAGGCCTGCCATGGTTACTTTTCCTGAGTATCTCTGCACAGTGATTCCTCAAGCATTTAGCTGCTTTTAGATGTAGTACAGGGATAAGTAAAACACCAGATGTTTTGGACTTCAGTACCCAGAATTCCTGACCATTGACCCATGCCGGCAGAGGCTTATGGGAGTCCACCCAGAATATCTAGAAATATAGCTTCTTCCCACCTCTGCTGTAATATACAATATTCCTCACTGAACCAGGAAGATTGTAGCAACCATACCCAATACCATATCTGTTTTTGTTCAAGAAAGTGTCAGTGGTCCAATTCAAAGTGCTATTAACAGCTTGTATAGATCTGTTTCAGTCTGGGTTTCGGCCAGGATTTGACAGGGAGAAGAGACACAGGAGGAGCACAACACCCTTGATTCTCCTCCAATTTCTTGACTATGGTATCTTGTTAGTTGGGGTTGGAACTGAGGATCACGGTAACATAGCACTTCCAATCCTACCTGCAGAGTCCATTTCAGAAGTAGCACTGGAGGAAGTCTGGTTGACTTTATGGCTTCAAGCTACATAGTCCCATAAGATTGGAGGTGGGTTGTGATTCAGTGGTACAGCACCTGCTTTGCTTGCAGAAGGGTCTGAGTTCAATCCCCAGCATCTCCAGGAAGGGCTGGGAAAAGATCCTGCCTCAAACCCTGGCGGTCAGTGTTGACCATAATGGGCTACCTAGACCAAGGGTCTGATGCAGCATAAGACACCTGAGTAAGATTCCAACTTACTCCTTGCTTACTCTGACACCTGCATGAAGCTGTTGAGTGAGATCATCCAGGGATTTGGAGCAAGGTGTCATCCATTATGAGTGTCAGATGAGGTTGCGGGGTGCCAAACTATTTTGTTTAATAAAGATTTTTATTAAAAATTTTAAACTAAAAACATCAATCATCAAATACATCGGACATACTGGGACAGCCCCTTATAATGTATCTTTTTAACATTCTATAATCAAATTCAAATCAATTTATAAAAATTTAAAAACATCTTTAAATCTAAGCCAAGTCCCGTTTCTCCAGCCAATCATAAAAATGGTCCCAAGTTTGATAGAAGTCAGTATCTTCTTTCTCCTTCAGTAATAGAGTCAATCTGTCCATTTCTGCACAGTCCTGAATCTTTTTTAAAATCAGTTCCTCAGTGGGTAATTTCTCACTCTTCCAGTATTGAGCAAGCACAATCCTCGCCGCTGTGATTAAATGTAGCATCAAATACATTTCTTGTTTGCTAATATTTTCCGGTATAATGCCTAACAAGAGGGATGCCAAACTATTGTCTAGACTCAGTAATAGACTGGATGAAGGCCAAAACTACCACAGAATTTGGACACAGTTTGGAGGTGGTTCCTAGGTTTAGAAAGCTGGTGTTCTGGGTGGGACTGTGTTCTTCCTGAAGGAGCAGGTACACAACTTAAGGTGCTTTTAGATCTGACATTGCTAGTTGAGGCCCAAGCGACTTTAGTGACTCAGATAACCTTTTACCAATTTCAGTTAGTTCATCAGTTCCAGATTTTCCTACATATGAATTGCTTGCATACAGTGAGCTACGCTCTGGTAACCTCTTGGTTGGATTATTATAACACGTTAAACACGGAGCTACTCTTGAAAGCCACTTGAAAGCTCCCACTAATACAGAATGTGGCTGTAGAATTCTCACTATTTTGCCTAGGTGGACCCATATTGCATCAGTTCCAAAGGAGCAACACTGGATATTCACTGCTGAGCACAATTGAACATGCTGGTGCTTATCTTCAAAGCTGCATGGCTTTCAACAAAACCAAATGTTAGCCAAAAGATAGTAAAATAACATAAGAATTATACATATGCTTATGTAGCCAATCAGCATCACCCATGTACAAGAGGGAGGTAGCAACAGACCCAGGGGAATCCCAAGGTTTGCAGAAGTACAAAGAATTGTTGAGGAGAAAAAACCCTAAAGATGAGGGGATTCCCAAAATCACCCCTGTGAAGAATGGACATGCTCAGTGGCTACAGAACACTGACAGCGAAAAAACATTAGAAAAATGGGGTAGAGGACAAATGGTGTGGAACAGCTGAAATCTTGAACCGCAACATTTCAAGTTGTGACATTTTGCTGTCGTTCCCATTCATAGACTAAAATGAGTATTTCATTATCAAGACATAATCATTTAGGCTTTTAACTTACAAAGTTTTTCCAAAAACCTTTCTTAAAAATGACAGGTATTTAACCATTTACAGATATTCTTTGCTGACATCTTAAGACAGGTTTTAAGATGCCAGCCTTCTAACCTCACTGAGAACTGTAGCTTGACACTATTGGCAAGAAAGGCGTGTGTATCACCCTCAGAGGCAACTATTTGTTACAAAGAAGAAGAAACCCGGTATATTTAGTCATTGAAGTGACTTGACAGGCCATTCCCATGACGAAAATAACTTACATGACAATTCATCCTCACTGTTTAGGAAAACTGACAAGCAGCATTTGTTCTCACAGTTTT